ATGTTTTCCCAATGCAGGCGGGACACATGCTACTCGGTAGACCATGGCAGTTCGATCGAGAGGTCAGCCATGATGGACGAGCGAATCAGTACTCTTTCGTTTATAACAAGAGGAAGATTTTACTCGCACCCTTTAGTCCATCTCAAGTGCATGAGATGCAACTAAAGCTAGCTAAGGACACCGAAGCGAAGAAGAAGAACTTCTACCTTAAAGCTAGTCAAGTCGATCGGGCTGTTCGTCAAGAACAATCGGTACTTCTCATGGTCGTCATGAACCTGAGGACGGAAGTACCTACCGATACCCCCGCCATAAGTCGACTACTTGAACGATTCCGAGATGTGTTTCCAGACGAGATTCCGGCAGGATTACCACCCATCCGAGGGATCGAGCACCAAATCAACCTAGTACCTGGTGCTCCTTTAGTTAATCGACCCGCCTACCGAATGAACCGAGAAGAGACCAAAGAACTCGAGAAGCAAGTTCAAGAGCTTATGAGTAAGGGTTATATTCGAGAGAGTCTTAGTCCATGTGCAGTTCCAGTGCTATTAGTACCCAAGAATGATGGAACTCGGCGCATGTGTGTGGATTGCCGAGCGATCAACAACATTACTGTTAAATACCGGCATCCCATCCCTAGACTCGATGACATGCTTGATGAGTTGAGCGGAGCCACGATCTTTTCAAAGATCGACCTTAAGAGTGGCTACCTCAAGTGAGAATGAAAGAAGGCGACGAGTGGAAAACCGCCTTCAAGACCAAACAGGGTCTTTACGAGTGGTTGGTCATGCCATTCGGGTTGACAAATGCTCCGAGTACATTCATGCACCTCATGAACCAGGTCTTGCGAACTTTCATAGGAAAGTTTGTCGTAGTTTACTTTGACGACATCCTCGTGTATAGTCGAACCACCGAGGACCATCATTCGCACCTAGAGCAAGTATTGACCACTTTGAGGAAGGAAAGCCTTTATGCGAACCTGAAGAAGTGTTCGTTTTGTACCGATGAGTTGGTATTTCTTGGCTTCGTAGTCAGCTCTAAAGGCTTGCGAGTTGACGAGGAAAAGTTTAAAGCCATTAAAGAATGGCCGACTCCTACAACAGTTGGACACGTGAGGAGTTTTCTCGGGTTAGCGAGCTTTTATCGCCGATTTGTTCGGGACTTCAGTAGTATAGCCGCTCCTCTTACCGCCATCACTAAGAAAGATGTGAACTTTGAGTGGGGAGAAAATCAAGTGAGCGCATTTAAGACACTTAAGGACAACCTCACCCGAGCACCCGTCTTAGTTCTTCCGAACTTCGACAAAACCTTCGAGATTGAGTGTGATGCCTCTGGGATTGGCATAGGAGCTGTCCTTATGCAAGAAAAGAGGCCCGTCGCTTAATTTAGCGAGAAACTTAGTGGGGTTGCTCTCAATTATCCGACATACGACAAGGAGCTATACGCGCTCGTGCGTGCATAAGAGACTCGGCAGCACTACTTGTTGGCCAAAGAGTTTGTCGTTCACTCGGATCACGAGACCCTTAAACACCTCAAGGGACAGACTTCACTCAAGCGGAGACATGCTAAATGGCTTGAATTCATCAAGACATTTCCCTATATCATTAAGTACAAGAAAGGGAAGGACAACGTCGTAGCCGACGCATTGTCTCGACGCTATGCGTTGATATCAGTCATGGAAGCCAGGATGCTTGGATTTGAACTCCTTAAGGAACAATACATGACTGATTCGGACTTTGAATCCATCATTAAGGAGTGTAGTCATGGTGCCTATGGCCCATTGTTTCTACAAGATGGGTACCTTTTTCGAGAAAAACGTCTTTGCATCCCCACAGGGGTCGAGGCGAGAAGCCATACTCCGCGAGGCTCATGGCGGCGCACTTGCTGGCCATTTCGGAGTAGATAAGACGTTGGCCATCGTACAAGAGCATTTCTATTGGCCACACCTCAGGAGGGACATTCAGAGGTTTTGTGCTAAGTGTATCGAGTGTCATAAGGCAAAGTCTCGAGTACAACCTCATGATCTTTACATGCCACTACCGATTGCCACCCAACCTTGGGTAGACATTTTGATGGACTTCGTGTTTGGAATGCTGAAAATACAACATAAGGATTCCATCTTTGTCATAGTGGACCGGTTCTCAAAGATGGCACATTTCATACCATGTGCTAAGACCGATGACGCTAAGCATATTGCGGATCTCTTCTTTCGGGAAGTTGTGCGTCTACATGGTCTCCCAAAGACGATCTTGTCGGATCGTGACTCGAAATTCCTGAGCCATTTTTGGCGGACCTTATAGAAACGAGTCGGCACTAAACTCGTCTTTTCGACCACTTGTCATCCTCAAACGGATGGACAAACCGAAGTAGTCAATCGGACATTATCCACACTTTTGAGAGCTACTATCGGAAAACATTTCGAAGGATGGGTTGAGTGTTTACCGCATATCGAGTTTGCGTACAATAGAGCGGTCCATTCGGCCACTAAGCACTCCCCATTTGAGATAGTCTACGGCTTCAATCCAATCACGCCGCTTGATCTCATACCTCTTCCGAATACGGAGTTTACGAACCTTGACGGCGAAAGAAAGCCGAATTCGTTAAGCAACTCCATAAAAAGGTTAGAGACAACATTGCGCACAAGACCGAGCAATACACTCGCCAGGCAAACAAGGGACGAAAAGATGTCCAATTCAAAGAAGGCGACTGGGTATGGCTCCACCTCTGACCCGAACGATTCCAAGAAAAGCGCAAGTCCAAGCGAAACCCCAGAGCTGACAGACCATTCCGCATACTAGAGAAGATCAATGACAATGCCTACCGCCTCGAGTTACCAAGTGAGTATACTGTGTCTAGTACTTTTAATGTTACTGATTTATCTTCTTTTGATGCAGGTCACGACATTTCGAGGGCGAAATCTTCTGAAGGGGGAGGGAATGATGAGGACATCAGAGCTAGCAGCTTGGACGAGGACGGGAACTTAACGGAAGGAGCTAGCTTGGACGAGGACGAGAGCTTAACGAAAGGAGCTCTAGAAGATGTTAAAGACTTGACTCATCAGGCGTCAAGACTCTTGCCGAATGATCATAACATCACAAGATCATTCAAAGCTGCGGGAACGGGATTTGACGTGCACAACACGAAGGCTCCCCGAGCAACCCATAGAGCCGAACCACCACTTACTCGTGCTAGAGATCGAGCGCTTCGTGACACTCAACAAGGCGGTCAATGACATTCTTAGCGGATCCCGGGAGTCCAAGGACGACACTTCACTTTTCGGACGCAATTCGACTTGGAACTTGCTTACACTCGAAGAAGACATCTCCTAGAGCCCAAGTGAAGCCCATGGGATTTAGTCCAGCAAAGATCTCGGACCACATGAAGCTCCAACAGCTATATTTTTGTTACTTGGTCCAAATTAAATCTATAGCTTGCATGTGAACTAGCATTTAATGCTTTGACTACTTAAAACTCTTTCCAAGTTGTAATCTTGAACACACTTGATCTTTTGCAATTGAATTTGTTTTGTGAGACTTCTCTCTCTCAAAGAACTTGGCTGGTTTCTCCGCCCTCCCCGTGTCCGCTGCCCGTGTCATCGTCCGGTGTGTCCGACGGTTCCCCGTCGAGCTCGGTTAGTCCGGCTCTTTCGCCTTGGTTTGTCCGAGGTTCTATCCATCATTCCATCTCCTCCATAATCTGATTCTAATCCAAATTCGAGAGCCACTTAGTGAGCCGGTGATTGGGTTAGAATTCCACTCGACTATCCATCGTTTCGTTCGTATTTGAACCGCAAATTCGAGCGCCACTTCATGAGCCTGTGATTGCGTGTTCAACATCATTTCTATCTATCTTTCGCTACCGTGCGTACATCAGATGGGTAGGATTAAACCTTGATAGTGAGATTAGAATTGGGAGAGTTAATCACTACCTTAGAGCTTGAATTCCCTAGATTGGATAGATAAACCACTAAGTTTACATCTTTTGAAAGATCCTTACATGTAAAGTATTCCCCAAGCCTGCAGTGTTTGTCATTGATTGTTTACAACCGTTTTCGTTATTTTCTTTGTTTATTACACTCCTATTATTTTCTTTGGATCTTGACTTGGATTTGGATTTGAATTCTTTGTCTACTTTTGTCCTTGTGTTCGACCCTAGCGACTACATACGATCCGTACACTTGCGGTATTTGTTGAGTCTAGGATATTATTACTTGATCGAAACTTATTCACCTAGATTTACGACATCAAGTTTTTGGCGCCGTTGCCGGGGACAATTTAGGCAATAAGATTAGATCCTATCTAGTCTGGATGTTTTTTTGTTTTTCTTTTTTTAAGTGATTTCTCACGTTTGCCCAGTACAACACGCCTAATGGTGTCGAGGACAGGAAGACAAATGGAGAACAACCGAGATCTTGCTTTACCTGATGGTGTCGAGGACAATGCTGACTGAACCTTTGCCCAGTACAACACGCCTAAGCACACTGAGATTTTGGCTGGTATTCGACTACCGACCATCGACATGTCTAGTTTCGAGCTGACCCGTCTACTATTCAGATGTTGGGCATAATGGTTTCTGGGGTAGGCCGAACGAAGACCCAAACGCACATAACAGGGTGACAGAGAATACACTCCGCTTGATTGCTTTCCCCTGGATTCTCTTGGATTGCTTTGGAATGGAGTTACGATCTGACACCTGATTCCATCCACACCTGGGAACAGCTGGAAGTGCAGTTTATGTAAAACATTTTCCTAGCTCACCGCACTCAAGCAGCTCTTTCTGGCATTCATTCATTCAAGCAAGACCATGGGGAAAACCTTTATAATGTTTGGAAGAGGTACAAAGGATATCAAAAGTCTTGCCCTCATCACGGGCTTGACAAGAACTACCTGATCAACACCTTCTTCCGAGGACTCAGAATAGATACCAAGACTTTGATCCGAGCTTCTTGTGGTGGGAGCATCCAGAACAAGTCATTCGCCGAGCTAGAAGAGCATATTGAGATGATGGCCCAAGAAGAAGACGCTCCGAGCGAGTACTCTAGAGATCAGTCAAGGGAATGCAATGATCAGACCATGCAGATGGTTCTTGAACAATTGGTTGTCCTCAATGCTAAGCTCGAAGATTCTAACCGACCCTCTAGGACCAAGCATTCGAAGCCAACACAAGAGGAGCTCGGTATGTACGCATTGGATGAGAGAGTCGAAGGTGTTAACTATGTGGTCAATAACCCCTACTCGAACACGTACAATCCGGGGAAGAAGAATCATCCCAATCTCTCCTACAAGTCAAACAATGTGGAGAATCCCGTGTCGGACAACTACAGAGCATCCAACAACTCGAACCATAGGATTCCTCCCAGATTTGCTTTTCAATCCAGGGGTCCTAATCAGACATCCAACTACAGAGCTCCGGAACAATCCTACAACAATGTTGCATCTCCAGTTAATCCCGAATCTAATCCTGATACGTACGGTCTCCTTATACAGTTTTTGTAGAGTCAAGAGAAGACGAATCAGGAATTTCGAGCTCAGTTCGCAAGCATCGAGGCTCACTTCAAGCTCATAGATAACCAAATTGCTCAGCTAGCATCATCCTCTCAAAGACCGTCTGGATCTCTACCAGGTAAATCTGAGACTAACCCTCGTGAACATGTAAATGCAATTACTTTGAGAAGTGGTAAGCAGGTAGATGCTGAAGACCGACCAATGGTTGAGCAAGGCAAAAGCTCAAAGACTGCAGCTGTAGACATCCCTGGTGATGAACCTGAACCGGCTTACGTGCCTCCTCCTCCTAGACCACCACCGGTACCATTTCCATCTCGCCTGAGGAAGCACAATGAAGACAGTCAATTCGCGAAGTTTGTTGAGATGCTGAAGAAACTCGAGGTAACCATGCCATTCACCGATGCTACTTTGCAGATTCCCTCGTATACGAAGTATCTGAAGGACATACTGACCAAGAAGAGGGCCGTTGAGAAAGAAACCGTTGCTCTTACTATCGAATGCAATGCTCTGATCCAACACAAGCTTCTACTTAAGCGGTCCGATCCAGGTAGCTTCTCAATCCCTTGTAAATTGGGTAATGTTTCCATCGATCGTGCACTTTGTGATTTAGGAGCCGGCGTCAATCTTCTTCCATTATCGATCTTCAAGAAGCTGAACGTGGGTGAGCTAAAACCCACTAGAATGCCTCTTCAACTTGCTGATCGTTCCGTTAAATACCATGCTGGGATACTTGAGGATGTGCCACTAAAAGTTGGAAACTTCTATATCCCGGTTGACTTCGTGGTTCTCGACATGGACGAAGACTCTAAGGTACCTATTATTCTTGGTCGTCCATTCCTTAACACTGTTGATGCTGTTATCCATGTTAGAGCAGGTAAGCTAACCATGAAAATCGGAGATGAGATGGTGGAATTCACCTTGGACAAAAACCTTAAACAACCGTCATCAACAAGACCTGCATGTTTCATCGACGTCCTAGGACCATTGGCAGAAAAGACTCTAGAGCACAGAAACAATTTTGTTGATCCATCAGACGCAGTTGACCCGATCGTGTTATCCCCACCACACGATCATGTCTCATCTACTACCCAAAACCAAAAGATACATGCAGTTGACCCGATTGTGTCATCCCCGCCACACGATCGTGTCCCATCCTTGATCCAGAAACGAAAGATACACCAAGTTCACCCGATCGTGTCTACTGCACAACACGATCATGTCCCAGCATTGATCCTGAGCTCAAAGTTACAGATGACTCACCCGATCGGGTCCCCCATTTCCACATGATCGTGTCACGACCATAATCAGCCACATGAATCGTTTATTGGTTGTAATGCTCTAGGATGTTCCGTGATATGACATTTTGGCATGTTTGTTATATTTCGGTATCCTTGAATCATTATCGAATGATTCTAAACACCCTGGTCAGTTATCATTGTGGGAACAATGATGAATTAAGACTAGCATGAGGTGTGATCGATGCATTGGATGCATATCACAATCATGGGTACTCGTTGTGAACGAGTGACTGGTTGACCCGCATGAGATTGTCACATGGACAGAGTCATGACTTGAATCTCATACAGCGGTTCGTTCTTGGATCCTCAGACCTGAGATGTCTAGAGTATCTGATATGAGGAGTGACGTGTCTTGACTGCGTCAAACGTCGTCTTTAACCGGATGATTATAACGGCGTTGATCAGATACGTTCACGAATCATATGGAGATAATAGACATGCAATATGGGACTTGTCACCTCCTTAATAGGAGAGATATCGCTGGGCCCTCTCGTGGAAATCGGACTATGAAAACGCGTGGCCACGCTATAGATGAAGTTCCATCTATTTTTTTAGTCGATTTGCCAAGACGAGAAAGCAGTTGAACTTGAAGGGTGGCTCAAACCATGCCCTTGTTCAACATATGATATCGTGAGACAAAGGATCAGAACTCGAGCTATTACTGCCTTGGTTAGATCACCTCTAACTCAATTCAACGTGGGTAGTCATGGCGTCTTGCTAGAGGCTAACCATGACTTGTAGATCGGGAATGGTTCTCGAGGCTGCTGCCACTGCGAATGGGCCTACAGGGTCACACACCATTAGGGATGGACTTATATGTGAAGTTTCGGAAAGGAAGACTTGGATTTGGCCGAAAAAATCGTTTTCGGATCAAATCAGAGTGTCAGGACGTTTTTCAGCCTTCTGACTCGGACCGAGTCAGTATTTGACTCGGACCGAGTCAGTTCCATGCGAGTCGAAGCCCAGAAAGTGTTTTGGGCTTGGCTGATGTTTTGACTTGAACCGAGTCAAAATTTTGACTCGGACATAGTCAATACTCAATGGGTATACTAAATGGGCCGAGTCAAGAGTTGACAATGGGTTTGGGTTGATTCGTTCTGGCTCGACCGAGTCAGAGTTCTGACTCGGACCGAGTCAATACTCGGAAAAAGTCTCTTTTCACAAGGATTAGGGTTTCTAACTTATAAGGAGGTGTTGGACGCCGTCCTAAGTAGAAGAAAGATTTACAGAACCCTAAGACAGATCTAGAACACAAGAAAATCGTTCCTTTTTGAGGTTCTAGTTCTAGGGATTCGATCCCAAGTCTTGAAAACCCTATTCACTTCACAGATCCTAGCAGATCAGTTCCAAAAGCGTTTGGAATCCTTCCCGTCGGTGTGGATACGTGTAGAGGAGCTGTACTTTCAGCTTTTGGTGATTAAAACAGGCCCTGGATCGATTGCTACTTTCAGATCTTCAGGAAAGAGGTAAGTATTCGATTCCTACGGTGATATACATGATTAAACGGGGTTTTACGGATGATTTTGGTTGCGTGTGACGTTTGACTAGGTTTAGATTATTCTTCCGCTGCATGAAACCTAGTAAACCAAACCCTAGATCGATATGATCGCATGCTAGGAATCCGTAGCGAAACCCAACATCGTTTTCACCTCACATGGGCATTCACGACCCCTCTCACTCAGTTAAACAGGTGACTACCCTATCAGACCATTATGCTCCTATACTTCATGATCCAGGTTGGCGAAAGATCGATAATCTTCGCCTCTTAGACCCGTATGGTAGTTGAAAAGGTTCGGTCAAGCTAACGACCTTAAACAATCGCTCTCTGGAGGCAACCCGAGTTTGTAGGTTAGTTTTTTTTTCTTTCTTTTTTCTTTTTGCATCGGATATTAGTTTGTATCTCTTATCACCAGATTGAGTTCTAATGAGGAGCTATTAAGGAGACAAGGAAGCTAGCTATACGGTAGACATAGGCAGAATTAAATGCGAGTAAACGAACATCGCGAGTTAAGTATTCTTTTCCCTTTTTGATTTGCTTCTCTTTTGATTCATGTTATTGGTTGCCTCTACTAGACGAGAATTGACACCAAGGACGGTGTCCATTTCAAGTGTGGGAGAGGATTCGTCTAACGCCAAACCATATCCATATAGAGTAGTGTTGCATGCATTTTTCCCTTTTATTTTCACTTTTTAGTTGCATGTGCATATAGGATGCATTATGATTATATAGTTTGTTGATTAGGATTGTGCATTCTCATATAGTGTTTAGGACATATAAGATCACGTGCATAAAACCGTTTTGAACATTGATATGATGATCTATGGCATGAGAGAGTAGAAACATCCTGAAAACATTGTGATCCGTTGACCGTGGTTAAATTTTGTTGAGTTGATTGTTTGACCTTTAGAATTGTCTAGAATGACTTGTGGGGTAGAAATCGTTGGTTGGAACCCATGGGACCGATGTTGTCTAGCCAAGTAGAAAAGTTTCTATAAGAATATTTCCCATGTTTGCTGAAATCGGTAAAGTCTGTTATCAAATGCATTCTTATTTCTTCATGTACAGAAAAAGATAATGAGCATCTCGACACTCCGCTGTCATTATCTCGTCAACGAAAATCGTCCGAGGACATGAGTGCATCGATTTGATGGTTCGAGTCTAAGTTGTGGGTCGGGTTATCCAATGAACAAAATCGAAAAAAAATTGATTAGGAACCCTTCAACTTCAACGTCCTAGGAACCCGAGATGCTAGAAAAAGAAAAAAAAAAAGACAAAGTCTAGTTAGATGAGAAAAAAAAAGAGAAAAAGATAAAAAGAATGAATGCCGAAAGCGTAGACTAGATACGATTAGGTAGAATGGTGTAATAGGTTCGAGAAACATGCTTGGTAGATGATTGAGGTTCTTGGATTGTTCTAAGTAGCGGTGTAGATCCCATGGCTAGGAAAGATTATCTTTTAGAGAGAGAGAGATCATACTAGACAGACTTGATCATTGTTCACTGGGATCTAGGTCGGATTGAGGTTTCGCTCTCGATTATCATTTTAAGTTATGTCATTGTCTCACCCTCATTTCAGACCAATTTTTCACAGAGTATTTGCTCGAGGACAAGAAAGGTTTAAGTCTGGGGGAGTTTGATAACATGTATTTCGGGTGATGTTTTGATATAGGATGCCTAGCGTATTTCACTCGGTTTTCCATATTTGTAGGCATTCTAGGACACATTTGGCTTCGATATTGCATGGTTGTGTTCTTTGGTGTTTAAACAGGTTTTCACGCATAAAAAGAGCAAAAGGAGTGGAAAACATGGGCTACAGAACATCACGGACGAAACGGGAACATTTGGAGTATCTTCAGAGAAAACGTGAAGCTCAGAAAACGTCAGATTTTGCAAGTCCAATAACTTTCACTCTACAAGTCCAAATCATGCATTCTCTACATCATTGGAAAGCTCTCTTCGATATCTACGCGTAGACACACCAAGACCACCTAAATCCGATGTCGGAATAGGAAGTTATGAGCAAATTCGTGAAACCCGTCAAAACTGCAATGTGACACGATCGTGTCACTTGTATAGACACGATCGGGTCACTTAAAATCCGGAAATTTTTCAAATTTTCCCAAAAGAAAGAGGAGTTAATTAGGGTTAGCCTCCAAGATCGAATTCATTCATACTTTTGAGAAAAAACACACCCTAGAGCACACAAAACGAGGGAGATTATCAAGAGGCAAGAGATCGGAGTAGAAGACGGAGATTTCGAAGCTGGAAAATCGACTAAGCATTCTTCCTTTCTTCTATTTTACGATGTTTTGTTGTATTGATATGAACCCCGACGTCTGGATGTTTAGCGTGTAGTTCCATAGCTGTGGGTTAGGGATTTGCTATGTAGGGATCTTTGGTTTTTAATTCCAGACTTTTTGGATTTGTCTATTCTATTCAGTTTATTGAATTGTTCTTAATGCGTTCAATCTTGTTAACCGCATGATTGAATGAACTTAGGGTTTTAATTCACATAGACAAATGAGATTATAACCTGGAAATAATTCAATAAATAGAACAGGTATCGCATCGGGAGATGGGTATTTGCCTAGGAATTATGATAGCGTTCGTTCATGCATCCAGAGTTTTAGACTATTGAATCCGGAGATTGGTACGATTAAACCTGGATAGTGAGATTAGAATTGGGAGAGTTAATCTCTACCTTAGAGCTAGAATTCCGTGGATTGGATAGATAAACCACTAAGTTTACATCTTTTGAAAGATCCTTACATGTAAAGCAATCCCGAAGCCTGCAATGTTTGTTTACTACACTCCTATTATTTTCTTTGGATCTTGACTTGGATTTGGATTTGAATTCTTTGTCTACTTTTGTCCCTGTGTTCGACCCTAGCGACTACATACGATCCGTACACTTGCGGTATTTGTTGAGTCTAGGATATTATTACTTGATCGAAACTTATTCACCTAGATTTATGACATCAGTTACTCCAGTTTCTTCCAAATACCTATCCATCCGAGTGACCAAGAGAAAACAACATTCACATGCCCTTACGCCACATTTGTATAGACGCATGCCATTTGGATT